GTCCTCAGACCCGTACAGTAGATGACCAATTCATGCAGATTCAGCAGCTGATTCTAAATCAGCAATAGTCCATCGATAGATTAGAGAGCCAAATAGGACAGCTAGACGAAGCCAAGGCGAGAAGAAGAGTAAGGCAACTACCGAGTCAATCGGTTGTGAACCCTAGAAATCAGCCACCGGGTTTTCCTCCATAGCAGATTCAACCACCTCCTAAGAACCCTCAGCTTGAAAATAGCAAGGCTATTACAACCTTAAGGAGTGGAAGGATTTTAGATGGCTCGTATGAGAAAAAGAGAGTTAATGAAGAAGAAAATGAGCAAGAAGATCATAAGTTGGGGGGATGAAAAAGGAAAGGAAAATTTAGAAGAAGAGCCTATAGTGAACCAACTCGTAGTTCCCTTTCCAACTGCACTCACAGCCGGGCCAGTGCGAAAGAACAAAGAGACTCGCACTGAGAAGAGCCAGAAGTCCATATTAACTTCCCTCTCCTTGACGCGATCCAACATATCCCAACCTATGCCAAGTTCTTGAAAGAGTTGTGTACTCAAATGATGGAGCCACGATCGTCCCCACAAAAAAATGATGCTCTCAGCAGATGTTAGTGCAACTCTCCTAAACCAACTTCCCCAAAAAATGAAAGACCCTGGTGCTCCCCTCATAAGCTGTGTCATCTCTGGAATCACCTTTGATCGGACCCTATTGGATCTTGAGGCCAGTACATATTTGCTTCCATCCATTTATGACAGGTTCAGGATTGACGAGTTAGAACCTACCCAGATAATTCTGCAACTCGCTAATTGGTCAGTCAAGACTCCTCGAAGTGTTATTGAGGACGTCATTGTCAGGGTAGGGGGTTGTCACTTCCTAGTGGATTTTATCATCCTAGACATGACCCCAACCGAGGAACTGAACCATATCCCAATGATCTTAAGATGTTCGTTTCTAGCAATGGCTAATACAAACTATAAATCGGAAGAAATGGACATTTCATTAGGGGAGCAGAAAGTCCGGTTAAACGTTTTTAGTGCCTCTAAGTATCCAAACCTAGGGGAAGATGAGTGCAAGGTGGATATAGTGGACGATCTTTTAGATGCCTTGCCTACCCCTTGGTTAGCCCAATCTGAACCCTGTCTGTCGGAAGATGAAAGTGAGTCGAAGAGTTTAGATGAAGAATGTGTGTGAATGTGTCCGACTGAAGACGTTAAACTTAGCGCTGGTTGGGAGGCGACCCAACGTAATTTTCAATTACTTTTAGGATTAAAGTTTTTCTTTTCTTGATTCGAGACTAGGTGGCAAACCTTGAACCCCTCAAGAAAATCCTATTGATTGTTCCCTTTGACCCAAGTCCTTTTTGCATCAATCTAATCATGCCATTGGGGACAATGACATTTAAGTTGGGGGGTGAGGAAAGAGAGAAAATGAAAAATTGAAAAAAAAATTGAAATTGAGAAGCTAAGCCTTTAAATATGTAGAATTAAAATTTCACTAAAAATTTTAAAAATTCTTTCATTAAAAGAGATTCCCAAACAAAAAATGTTGAGGAAATTGATAAAAGAATATTGAATTTCGTAGAAATTGGTAGCAAGTGATAGGAGTGAAAATTGGTCTTATTTGAATATTGTTGAAGCTGTTTAGAAATTAGAAAGTACTCCAAAGTTTGCCCCTAACAGGATAAGAAGAGAAAGATTGAGAAACTAGACAAAAATTCTTCAAATTGTTAGAAATAGTGGACTACCATGAATAATGTTGCAAAAAAAAAAAGAAAGAGAGAGAGAGAGAGAGAGAAGAAAAGGTCAATGGACACCCTATACTTAGTAACCGAGTCTCTTCACCTAAGTCAAGTGTCGAGATTCACGTCAAACGGGAAAGGGAATGCCAAAGACAATCACCTGACACTTAGTAACCGGGTCTCTTCACCTAAGGCAAGTGTCAAGATTCGCGTCAAACAGTGGAAGGTAATAATAGAAATAAGTGTGCAAATCAAATTCATGGGTAGAAATCTACTGTAAAAAAATGATAAGAAGAATACATGTCTAATTTTAAAAATCAATCTCAGCTTATCAAGACAGTCCACAAATGGAAGGGTATATAAGATTTTTAAGCCAAGTTTCTGTAATATTTAAAGTAAGACAGTTTTACCCCTAAAACCCATACCGATTTATACAGAGTTTGAGAATGTTGGAATCAGGATGCTTGACTAATTATGTCAATGATGATCTTGAGGTGGGAAGGATCTCTATGCTCAGTGTAATTTTAAGGCTGCATTGCAAAGGGACTAGCAATGGGGGTGTGATAACTCTGCATTTTGATGCCTTAAGGGCATCATTTCAGGGGTATTTTCAGCCTTAGAATAGTCAAAGTATGCCATTTTCCCAGTTAAATTCAATGTTGTGACCTCTGAGGGTCTCTGTGCAAATTTTGTGGAAAACCGGGGAAGTTACATGGCTGAAATATAGTTTTTGGTAACTTGGTGTGAAGTCTAGCTGAGAGAGGAGGTATTTTTGTGAAAAACTGAGAACAGGAGGGCGCCTCCTATCTGCTAAACCCAGAATGRCRCCCYTYYYAYTGTATTAGCATGCTCCCCTCTCCTTAGCAAACCCTAGGGCGCCTTTTAACCCATTCTTTTCATCCTTAGCAAACCATAGCCGCCCCTACCTATTTAATCTCCACCCTCCACCTTTTCTAATTTCCACCATTCATTCTAGGGCACTCTTTTTGTAGCTTTTAAACCCTAGGGCGCCACCTAATTGCTAATCCTCACCATTCAGCCCCTAACCACCAGATCTTAACCCTCCATTCCATCTTCTATCTCAGCCATCCACTCTAGGGCGCCACCCACCTCTTTTAATGTCCACCTTTCAGCCCTGGGCGCCTCAATCTCCCCCATCTATTTATGGGCGCCCAAATCTCAGCCCTACATAGTATTGAGCGTCCTCTCCTTCTATTCTTAGCCTTAGAATCACCCCAAAACCATCATAACCCTCCATTAGAAACCCTAGGGTGCCCATATCTTAGCTAAAACCCAGGTCCCACCCCCTTATTTATCTCTAATCCTAATTGTATCCACCCTTCTCTATACAAAGGACCCAAGAGCTCCTAAAAAAGGGTTGGATTCTGCCCCCAGGTAAGATGGAAGGCTGATATTGAGAAGTTCAAGGGTAGAGGAAGAGGATGACGCCCAAGCAAGATGAGGGGTTCCTACTTGCAGTTTGCCAAAGCCACTACTGCCACCTCTGGATTCGGATCCCAACCATTAATCTTAGATTTAATTTTTGTTCTTTCAATTCCAGTTTCGTTATTTCCTTTCTGCAATTTATTTTCATTCTGTTTGATCTTCGTTTTCTTTTCTATAGATCTGGAATTTGGCCAGGTAAGACGGAAGGCCTAGCTCGAGAAATTCGAGGGTCGAAGGAGAGATCCGGAGACTGCTACCTCTGATCATATTACAGACATTTTAATTAGTTTCTTTTATTTATTTATTGTTGTATTTATTTATTTTTCTGCAATGTCCGCATTCTATCTTTTTCAGTTTAATTAATTAATTTTTATATTTTTGCACTTCCATCTTGTGTTCTCTTGTCCGGATTTGAGTACGTATTAATTTTTTCCTCGCTTCACTGTGGATACGACCTGTTCTCATCATTTTACTGCGTTTGTAATTATTTGAGAATCGGATAAAATTTTATAAATATTAAACTGGTGTTTCAAAGTGCTTAATGGCACGCTCCAGACACACCACCAATCTGATCGGTTTTTTAAATATCCAAACCAAAGCTGAACCAATGCAATCGGTTAACCGCAATTTGATTTTTTTGGTTTTTTTATGCACTTAAAATAAAAAAATAACTAAAATTGTTAATGGTTGCTAGTGCTGGACTGATGCTGCCGTTGGTTGCTGTCGAGTCTCGCCTGAATGAGAGCCTGAGAAGTGGCACGGCTGGCGCTTGGCGGAGACGTAGAGAGGAGAGGTGAGAGAGAGACGAGAGAATTGAGAGAGTGAGAGGGACCGGCGTTGGTGCTTGCTTTCTAGATTGGTTAGATTATTGGTGCTTACTTGCTGGCGAGGCGGTGACCAGCGTTGTCGCTTTGTGCTGCTGTGTTTGTGGTTGGCGCGGGCCGTGTGGCCGTCTAGATTCTAGAGTGAGGAATACGAAGAGAACTGAGAGAACTAAGTTGAAGAAGAAGAGAAAAGAGAAAACTGAGAGAAGAGAAAAATGAGAGAGTGAAAGAGACAAAAGAGAAAACTGAGACTTTGGCAGTCTGGGGAAAAGACAAAAGAGAATTGGCAATTTGGCACCCTAGTAAAGGTAGATTGCCGAACTTTCAATTGAAAGGTTCAAACTTGAAGTTTGAATCGCTGAAAGTCTCTCAGGCTGCCGCTTTTCAAAAAAAAAAAAATCGACAGGTGACCAGGCACCGAATAAATCAAAATCTTTTATTTGATTTTCAAAAAATATATATATATATATAATATTATATTATTTATATAAATATATATTATTGTATATATCGGTCAGTTCAGTTAATTGCTGGTTTTTTTAAATGGTTAATCGAAACTGAACCGAAACTCTCAATTTTTTAAGAATATCGAACTGAAACCGAATCGACTGGTTTGATTAATTGATTTTTTGGTTCGATTTTGGTCAATTTTTTTGGTCGGTTTGGTTTTTTGATTTTTTCTGCTAAAGTGAAGAATATTTGGGGTTAATTTATCTAGAAGGGGCTCTGATGGCGAGCAGTCACAAGGGGATGCGACCGAGCTTCTTGGGTTGTGAGCCTGGTTTTTGGTTGCATTTAACATGGAAAGTGAAAGGTGGGTATCCAACGAGGATAGAAGAAAGAGGAGGCAGGTCTTGTAAGCATTAAATTGTGAGGTGTGAATCAGAACGGTAATTAAAGGGGTCTTTATTTAACGGCTAAATTTTAGAGTGTCTTTATCGCAAAAAAATATATGGGGACTTTGTCACTAACTCCATAGTACAAGGGGTCTTTTAATTTACCCCTTTCTTTCTTCAATTTGGAAAGGGAAGGAAGAGAGTTTGTATTTTAAAGGCAGGAAAAAACTGCCATTGCTGGTCTGGAACGAACTTGAACGAGGATCCACACCATCACCTTTTTCGAGCCTGCATTTGCTAACCCCTTTTCTCTAGTGTTTATCCCCTCCGTGGTCAGTTCTAACGACGGAAAAGGATTGAATTGGAATCACTCCGAGACCAGAAAACGGCGTCTCCCACCTCCCTCCGGTTGCAGTAGCAGCTATTTAGGATCCAAGCGAAACAGAGCTTAAGGAAGCATCTCTGCAATCTACTTCAAGAACAGGTAAGCTTCTCCAACGCTAGATTTTGATCCTGTTCCATGCTCTGTTTAAAACTTGAGTCTTTGACTCTGTGTCTCCCCCTTCATTAGTATAAACTGGTTCCAAGAGAGGTAATAAAACTATCCTCATTGGTTTCCAATCAGAAGAAGGGAGGTATGGATTGAACAAATTGACGATTCCCAAATCTCTCTCTCCATGTTCAGTTAGGTTTTTATTCATTGCTGGGTTGTTTTTAAGTAATGTGAAAATGGAGGGATGGAGAGTCCAGCTCAAGCTCTATACCATGGGGGAACCCCGGTACCACCACCCTCGTTGGACTCCAATCCCAAGCATTTCTGGAAATTATGAATCATGCAGCATCCTTGACTATGAGATGCTTGTTGGTTTGCCTTACTCAGTGACATGAGGGCTCTATTTATCAGGTGTAAGTTCTCTTTGATATTCAGCTTTTTCTCCGTTCTCATATCCAATTTTTGTGCAATAGAGGTAAGTCAAGTCATTAAGGGTTCATCAAGTATGAGAGAGGGGTGCCTCACCCCTTCCCTCTCTCAGGCTAGAACCCCAGAGTCTGGTTTGAGCAAACCAGGTATTTGGACTCACTATACAGAAATTTCGAAATAAAATCATATAAAAACCTGTTTTTTAGGGACTTACCACCCTCATGTTCATGGCGATTGGCAACCTCATGAGGTTCAAGTCAAATTTTGCGCCTCACAATATGGGTTAACCCATTTGACTTGGATGGTTGAATTACTTAGCCAACCCACCACCAAAATGGAAGAATGATGTCATTTTGGGTTGGTTTTAAACATGGGTTTTGTATTGCTAAAAGTATTGGATATAGATTTAATTGACATAATTTATTTGAAGAAAAATGATAGAGTTTATTAGTGAAAAAATAGCTTAAATATAGGATTTAATATGAGAGAATGAGAATTAGTACCTTAAATGTAAGACTTAATGAGAGGGAACTGAGTGGGGTAAAAAGAATTAATTGAAATTACATTTTCTGCTCTCACAATTAGAGAGGGGCCAAATCAAAAAAATAAGGGCATTTTAGTCAAGAAGAGGATTCAAAGAAAGATGATGGGAGTTAATACCTTAAATATAAAATTCAATGAGAGGAAATTAAATAAGTTGAAAAGTAGTAGTTCAAATTACATTTCCTGCCTCATAATTAGAGAGGGGCCAAATTAAAAGATAAAGGGCATTTTAGTCAAGAATAAGATTCAATGAAAGATGATGGGAGTTAATACCTTAAATATAAGACTTAATGAGAGTGAATTAAATAAGATGAAAAGTAGTAGTTCAAATTACATTTTCTGCCCTCACAATTAAAGAGGGACCAAATTCAAAAATAGGATATTTTAGTCGAACAAAAGTTCCATACTTTCATTCGTACTTTTAATAGTAGTATAGATATAGGTATAGATTTTAGGGTAAGTTGCTGAAACCTCTCCTTGAGTTTCTGACTATTGTCGAAACCTTCCCTAAAGTTTGGTAATGGTAATCACCTCCCTTGTACTTTCTAAAACAGTTGCAAGTAGACCCCCCTCTGCTAGAATCCTCTAACAAGAGGCACGAAAATGTCCAAAAATGATTTATTTTTCAAAGTTTTTCTTCATATCAATCATCCAAAGGTAAACCTGCAACTTTAAACTCTCTTTTTTTTGTTGTTCATAAAGGTTGTATTGTTTTTTATGTAAAAGTCAGCCTCAATGGTAACATGGGTATTTTGGACATTTTGTACCTCTTGTCAGAGGATTTTAACAGAAGGGGTCTACTTGCAACTGTATGCATGAGAAAGCTCAAGGGAGGTGATTGCAATTATCAAACTTAGCAACGGTAAAAAACTTTTCAGGGGAGGTTTCATCAATTTACCCTAGATTTTATGTTTGGTAACATCATGAGCTATGAATTTCGGTTTGGTGTAATACAAACTGATTAAACTGACTGTCATGTGAATTTAATTTTTCAGTTGGTTTTGATTTTAATCGGTTGGTTTTGGGTTGACCAAAACTCAAACTGATAGTTTTTGTTTGGTTGATAAAATTTATGTAAAACCAAACCAAACCGAAACGTGTATGGCCCTAGCCCGTTTTACCCATCATAACACTTTTCTTGATATGGGCTTATTCTAGGCTAATGATTTAAGAAATTTCCTTGCATATGGATGGTTGAGCTCAGAGTCAAATGGATGGTTGGATGGTTGCTAATCTCATTAGTGTGAAAGCAAAGACAAAAGGATCATTCTGAAATCCCCAAACAGTCGTCAGCTAGAACACCTATACCTCTTAAAGCAAGAGCGGTACTTCACTTTAGTCTTAGACTTCCATTGTAAACAATCGCAAACCTATGATTCTTTTACTTCATTTCTTTTTTTTTTTCGTCCTCTTTTTGCACATAAAGATTTATTGCTGGATACTGAATTATAGATGCTCAGTAATTGTTCGATAAATTTCCCAGAATAAATATGCTATCAATAAATTGCTGGATCTCTATTTGCTTCTTCTTTTCCTTTATTCGAATAATATGCCATATTTTTTTGTTGAAGCAGTCTTTCTAGATGTCAAAGTTACTTTCTCAGCAATGATTGAGAGGATAGTTTTAATACATCATATTAATGGTTACTCACCTTGTCTTAAGCTTGTGCAAACCTTTATTACTTATTTATTTTTTGTCCTTTTTCAAGCAAGAACAGTTAACATTACATAATTTGGATTGCCCGTCTATTAATGACCAAGCCAATTTGATGTTTGACCTTAAATTTGTTATGATGCTGCTGTTTGATTATTTTCAGAATCCCAATGGCGGGCGTAGTAAAGAAATTCTTCATTGCATCAATGTTTATGTGGATAGTTCCAATTGGCATTTTATATGGGTTTAACCATCACATATTTCCTGGTAAGTTTGGTTTTGCTCATTCATATTAGTAATTATTTATATGCATGCACCAATATATCCAGTGGCAGCTTATCTTGTTCTTGGAAGCTAAACTTTAATGGTCAGGGCATCCCTTTACAGCTTTCTCTCACTTTGTACTATTTTCTTAAGCCAAACAATGCCCAGAAAAGTTTTGATTACATGTATTTGGAGAGCCCATTTCACCGTATAGCTCTTTTGTGGGCTTTCGTTTTCTATTACCTATAATGCATATGCCTTTTGGGAGCCCATTTCACCTCATAAAAAGAAGACTGAATTCACACCTCATTGCCATCACCCATCTCCTAATTGTGTCAAAGATTATATGTCTTTTGGGAGCCCATTTCACTGTAGAGCTCTTTTGTGGGTTTTCGGTTTCTGTTACCTACAGTGATATACCTAACTTTATCATCAAATGGAGACCCAAGTTACCCCTCATTGCCAGCACTAATCTCCTAATTGTTTCAAAATTCAACTTTAGTTTGAAGATCTTCCCCAGGGCTAGGGTGAATTCGAGCTAAGCTGAGCCAATTATCTGGTTATTTGAGTTTGTCTTGGTAGAAAAACATGAGTCTTGAGTTTGGGCTCGAGCTCGATTCAAGCTAGAAACATGAGCTCAAATTTGGCTCGACTCAAGCCCATATGTTCGAGCTTGGCTTGGCTCGAGCTCGACAGTGAGCCAAGTTTCATATAAAAAGTTAAAAATATATATGTAAAAATTATACATATAAAAAATTAGAAAATATACATATAAAAGATTATATATAAGGAAATTACACAAACAATATTTCTTATTATACATATAAAAATGATATGTTTGCTATACATATAAAAATTCAAAATATTATATGTAATATTTTTTATATAAGTAATAAGATTGATTAAGCTTGTGATCTTCACGAGCCGAGCTTCATTGGACTCAAGCTTGGCTCAAAGCTCAGTTTAGACTGAGCCGAATCAAGCTTTTCATGAGCTGAGCTCGAATAGCTCGTGAAAAGCTTGGTTCGTGTCCACTCCTACCCAGACTTAACTATAAATCAGAAATTTATGTGGCACAACTACACAAAGTTGAACCTGCAACCCTTACTCATTTTATTTATTTTATTTTATTTTATTTTATTTTACTCTTTTCTCTTTGATCCAGAGTATACTTGAGATTCAGATCTCTTTCTTTTTTTTTTGGTGTAGTGGTGCTCTAAGGTTCTATTTTTTTTTAATAATTAATAAAAACTATTAAATAAAAAGAGAAAACCTTGTAGCCTAGCAGCAAGTACACAACACAATCAGCATACAGTTGTCATGTTACAATATGATTAGAGATAAAAAGAAAGCCAGATACAAATCTCCATTGTTTAGAAAATTGGATTGGACTGGCTGGTTGGACCGGTTGAATGGTGACCTGGGCCCCTTGCCGGTTCGGTCATATCCTGAAAACCATTATTCATGAAAAACCAGACAAAACTGGCTGACTGGCTGGTATAACTGGAAAACCGGTGAACCACTCCTGGTTTTGTGAAACTGCCTGGGTCACAACATGAATAGAAGCTTCAAGATGGTAATGACAAGACTTGAACGCAAGACCTCTTATTTATGTGTATTGTCTTGTTACCATTAATCCATCTCTTTATTTGCATTTGTTTGTGCCTCTTTAATGTATATATTGCTTTAATACAAACATATTTTAAAGAAAATGAGTCAAGAGACTTGAACCCTGGCCATTTATTTTAAAAACTTAAAAACTAGCCATCTATCCACCACATACAAATGCAATAATATTTGTAAAATATATTATATGTATTTATGTGATCTACAAAATATATATTCATATGCCATGCCATCATGGTTCTACCTCTGGTTTGACCGTGGTTGAACCTCTGACCCATGAACATCCCTTTTTTGGTTTTATGCCCGGTCTGGTTCTCTGAAGTCTGAATATTGCAAATCCCTTCTCTAGTCTGGACAATCCCATTCTAAAGACTCTTTTATAACCTCTGTCTTAGCCAATTCTTCAGCCAATTCATTTGCACTTATTGGAATCCAATTGAACGGGCAGTTCAATTGATTCCAAGGAATATAATTCTCTGACATAACACCTGAGCTTCTAAGGCACCTCTCTCCTGAGTAGGGATGGCAACAGGGCCCACCCCAAAAACCCGTAGTGGGTTGGATTTTGAGAATCCAAATCCTCCCCGTATATGAAAATGCAAAACCCTCCCTGACCCTACCCTCCCTGCATTCAAGGGTAGGTGCGGGTTGGGTTTAGAACCCGCATCTAACTTTCTATTATTTCCTGTCATATATAAGCAATGAATAAGTAAAATAACACAAATGAACAACAAAATTTCCAATTATTTGATTAAGGCATGCAGAAAACACAAACTATCAATTATCCTTCACATAAAATTCAAAATATTATTAAATTCAACACCTAGTACATAACTTATATGCTTTCCAACAATATACGGGTCGGGGAGGGTCAGGTTTAATACTGTACCTGTACAGGTTGTAGAATCCCGAAACCTGTCCTTAAAGCAAAAAAGCCCGCCCTGTTGGGGAGGGTAGGGGCGGGTAGCCACTGGGTAGGGAAGAAATTGCCATCCCTACTCTTGAGCAAAACCAAACAAAAATATCTTGACAGTCCCCTTCCATCTGAACATTGTTGAAACATACAAGTAGTTACTAATCTCAAGTCTTGCACAATTTACAATGGTTCTGCCCTTAAAAGAATTACCATACTCCACACGTCTAGATAATCTTACTCTGATTCCCCCTGCAGCATCTCTCACTGCCACTCGGCCCACTCCTATACACAAAAGCTCCAGGGTTGCCTAAAATACAACCATCAAAGTTTAACTTTAGTTTTCCCCCTTCTAGTGGTTGCCACACATCACTTTGGGTATGTTCTCTTCTCCTACCAGTCACCATGTATTGCCAACTCCTTAGCAAGTCAAGCATGGAAATTTCTTTAAACTCTTGTGAAGTTATCACCCAATATGCTACTTTTATCTTGATGAGATCAATTAATTGATGAATCTCCATGTGCTTCTCTTAAAAAAATTTTACATTTTTTTCACCCCATATACTCGACAGAATTGCATCCTGCATGCATTTCCACAATATCTTCATTTTTCTTGTTTGTGAAGCAAAGGGAAACTAAGAAAAGAGTTCTAAAATGGATGAAGGAGCCCTCCAATCAATCCCAGACTGAGCTAAAGAAGTGAGTCCAAATAAAAGAAGAAAATGAGCAACTTAGCAACAGATGAAATACTGTTTAGAGATTTTCTGTTCTTTTTATTTTTGATGTAGTCAGGACTTTGTATCTGGTCTTTCACTTTTCTTATGCTTTCTTTTCTTTCTTTTTAATTTGAATGGGAGTTACAGTTTGGTTTTCAAAGTTTTTTTTTTTTTTTTTCAACTGCATGTAGTACTAGCCCATCCAAACCCAAGGTGTTGAACCCCCAATTGTAACCTAAAGCTGAAGTAATCGTGCCTAATCCAACCCCATATACTACATGCAGTTGAGATGCCTGCTGGAGTTCCTCTCTAATTACAGTAAAATAAGAAACTTGAAAAAAAAAACTTTGAAAACCAAACTGTTGACATCCTTGTTGGATGTGTTCCCAAAAAAACTGATCACTTGGAAGAGAAATTACATTTCTTGGGGGGGATTGCTCTTATTAAGAGACATTTGGTGGGAGTCTGGTGAGTCAAAGGACTGCCTTATTAATTGGAAAACTATGATTGGGAGTAAGGTGGATGGGGGTTTGGGTTTGGGTGGAGTGTTGGATAAGAACACCTCACTTTTTGGGAAGTGGTTGACAGCTTCCCTTGATACAAGCAAATTATGGCATGTTGTAAAGCATTAATGGAATGGTAGGAAATGGCTTGGATGATGTATTAGCCATATGAGAAAAACTTGTTCCTCCCTAGAAGTCAAGACATGCTCTACTTTGGTATCCTTAGAGAACACAAGGTTTGACACATCTTTGGGGGCTAAAATAAGAACTTGGGAAGATCTGTGGTGGGGTGAAATCCCTTTAAAAGACTTGTTCCTTACTCTTTACTCTATTTTTTTTTTGATTGATAACTGAAAATTCATTAAAATTAGAAACAAATTACATGAGTACAATAAAGAAATAAAAGCTGAGAGAGATAAACCCTCTTATCTCTTCCCGACGCAACATAACTTCTTTTTACAACTGATCTCTACCCTCCCCTTGTTTAGCAAGAGCATCAGCAAAAAATTTTGCACTCCTTTTGACTCATCGAACTCTCACTTCCATATTTTGTGCGAACCATTTGAATTTCTTTCTTTCATTGTTAAAGCTCCTCAGATTTGCCTCCTCACTTAGCAGCCATCCATCCCACAACCAATTTGAAATCCTCTTCAATAATTAATTTTCCAATGTTCAAAGATTTTGCCCTCTTTACCCCTTCAATTAATGCCAAAATTTCAGCTCTCAAGGAATCTCCTACTCCAATTGGGCCAAAATAAAATGCCTATCTTTTGCCCTCTTCGTCTCTAAACACTCCTCCAATTCCTGACAGTTCCAGGTTACCCAAACTACTTCCATCAAAGTTAAGCTTAACAATGGAGACAAAAATCTAGATGTCAATGGCTCAAGGAAGGGGATGGAAACACCGTTTTTTCCATATGTTGGCAAATGGGAGAAATAGGAAAAACTCAGTACTGAAATTGGAATGGGTGGGAAGGGAGGCTAATGCATTTGCTGACTATCTAGGCAAGCAAGGAGTAACTAGGGATCAGTTGTATTGGGCCCAATTGTAATTTTGTGCTTTTTTTTTTCTCTTTTGAAGAGTGAGGCTGCACCTTGCGCCTCCCCTTGGGATACTTGTAATAGAGGTTTATCTTTTTGCTGATAATGCATTCTTAATGAACTTTTACCTATAAAAAAAGGATATAGCTCAAGCCTTTGTGAACCATTTCAAGACACTCTATGAGGGCTCGAGGAGTTCAAGAG